GCTGGACATATTCTCCCACCTTCTTTCTCATGCCTGACCAAAACCAATCCCCTATCCCCTGCTATCCTCAAATAAGTCTTCACTTCCCCTTCGTGGCCCCCCTCCTGTTGGTGTGTCATGATATTCCCTAAGAAGAATAGGAATAAATTTCGAGCCTTTAGGAAGAACTACCCTGCCTTTATACATCACCAGATCTCTCTCTAGATGGAAGCCCTGGTGTCCATTAGAATCAGCCTTCAATGAATCTCGTAGCCCACACAACCATGAATCATTTGCAAATTCCCTCCCAAGTTCGGCCCAATCCACTAACTGAGTGGATATTAAAGCCCTAAACTGTACCACTGCCCTTGCGAGAGAGCACATCTGCCACCCTATTGGATGGGCCGGGTATGTATTGGATCTCGAAATCCATACCCATCAATCTTCTCATCCATCTTTGGTACTCACTGCCACTTCGCGTTGTTGGGTTAGGAACCTTAAGCTTTGTTGGTCGGTCCTAATAACAAAGTGCCTCCCTAGCAAATAATGCCGCCACTTCGTCACAGCCAAGCTAACCGCTATCAACTCCTTTTCATAAATTGACTTAGCCTGATTCCTCACTCCAAGTAGCTTACTATAGTAAGCTATGGGCTTTCCTTGTTGCATCATCATGACACCAAGTCCATAACCCGAAGCATTCGTCTCTACTAAGAATTCTAGCTGAAAATCCGACATTCTCAACACCAGACCTGTTGTCATGGCAGTTTTGAGGGCTGAAAAAGCTTCGGCCACTTCTCTTATCCATCCGAAATTATCTTTCTTCAATTGAGAGGTGAGTGGTCCGGCAATTAGAGCCTAATTGGCCACTAATTTTCGGTAATAACCCACGCAACTCTCTCAAATTCTTTGGTTCTTCCCACTCCACAATTGCCTTCACCTTATTCATATCCATGGCCACTCCTTCCTCCGATATCACGTGACCTAAGTAGGCCACTTCCCTACTTCCAAACTCGTACTTCTTCCAATTAGCATACAACCTATGCTTCGATAATTGCTCCAACACCAACCTCACATTCTCCTTGTGCTCTCCTTCCTCCTTACTATACTCTAGGATATCATAAATAACCACCAAAACAAACTTCCTCTGACTTGAACAACTCATTCATGAGGGATTGGAATGTGGTCGGGGCATTCGTTAGCCCAAATGGCATTACAAGGAACTCATAGTGCCCCTTGTGTGTACGAAATGCCGTTTTGTGAACAACTTCCGTTTTCACCCTTATTTGGTGATAACCGGACTTCAAGTCCAACTTAGAGAACCACTTAGCCCCATGCAATTCATCAAGTAGCTTGTTTATGACCGGAATTGGGAATTTATCCGACACGTTTCTTTGTTCAAAGCCCTATAATCAGCACAAAACCTCCACGAACCGTCTTTTTTCTTCACAAGAATTACCAGACTACAGAAAGGGCTCGTCGACGTTTGAATGATTCTGGCTTGAAGCATCTCTTGAAGCAATCTGTCAATCTCATCTTTTTGTATTTGGGGATATCGGTATAGGCGCACACTAATAGGATCACTCCCATTCTTCAATACGATTGAGTGTTCATGGTCTCTTTGGGGTGGGAGACCTATTGGCATCTCAAAGACTGCTTGAAACTCGCGCAATAGCTCAGTCAAGAAACTCGGGAGCTGCTGTTGACTTACTTCCTGTCTCCTTCTCAATCTTACTCATCTCCACCATAATACCCTGCCCTTCTCTACACAAATTTCGTATCATTGCCTTCAAGCTGATGTGTGTTGTCTCGAGAAAAGGATCGCCGTTAAGGGTGATTGGTATTCCCCCACCCGAAACTTCATGATGTGCGACTTCCAGTTCGTCGTTACTGCCCCAACTTCTCTAACCACTGTACTCCGAGAATAACATTTGCGTTTCCGAGCTCAAAGGGCAAGAAGTCCTTTATAATGGCAACTCCTCCATTTAATTTCAATCTCACACCCTTACAAACCCCCTGACCTTTAATTATCTCACGGTTCCCCAAAGCCACCGAGAATTCGCCTCCTTTTGACACCAGAATTGCTCTATCACGCACCACCTTCTCTGCGAGGAAATTATGGGTGGCGCCGGGGTCAATCATCACCACCACCGTACCCCCCGCTAATTCTCCCTTCAATTTCATAGTCTTGGGATTCGAAATACCTATCACTGAACATAGCGACCGCACACTGCTATCCTCCTCCAGCGACGTCTCTTCCTCACCGAGCACCAAAAGGACACTCAACCCTTTCCTCTTACATCTATGACCTACGCTCCACTTCTCGTCACACCGGAAGCACAATTTTTTCACTCTTTGTCTTGCAACTTAGCTTCTGCCAATCTCCTCGTGAAATTCGAACTCTGACCTTGAGAAATTCCAGACGAACCAGCTATGTTCACTGACACGTGAGATTCTGGAGGCTTAGTCCATGTTTTAGCTGGGTGGAATGATTATTTGTACCAGACTAGACCCACCACTCTTGTTAGAATAAGTAGTGTTGCTCCCAATTTTGAAAGATCTTTTACCCACCCTTTTGGGCTGACAAACACTATTCTTCTCTTCGATCCGACCCGCCAACTCCATAGCCCCTTCTAAGTTGAACGGGTTTAACATTCTTAACTCCGTTTTGACCTCACTCTTCAACCCATTAATAGATTGCCCCAACATCAACGATTCTGGGATTCCCTCCATTGGTGCTCGATATACTGCCGTCTGTACTCCTCCACCGATCCCTCCTGAGTCACCGCGAGCCACTGCTCATACAAAGAGCCAGCGTGCAACGGCCGAAATTCGTAAAGTAGCCGTTGTTTGAGGTCCAACCACCCCACGATTAGCCACCTCTTTCGTTCCCATTGATACCATTTTAAGGTCGCTCCATCCATCGCCACCACCGCGGCTTCCAGCTTCTCTCTCTCCGATTATTGGTAAAACGCAAAGAACATTTCAGCCCTTAATATCCGATTATCGGGGTCGGTGCCTTCGAATATGGGCATCTCAAGTTTACGATGTTTCCATTGAGGACCGCCACCGCCACCGCCGCCACCGCCACTAGGCCAGTTTCTTTGCTCGAACTACTCTTCCTCACCCTGACCTTCTCCCCTTCATCCTCTAAACCCCCTCACCGGGGTTCGTACTTCATTCTCACCTTGGGCTTGACTATCCTCGCCGTCAATGTTGAGAATCGGCTGAAAAATTGGTGGCGGTCTATTCCCTTGGGCACCAGTAGTGACTTTTTCATCTCTTCGCAGAATTTCTGGTTGTGTTCTCTCTCTACCGCTGCAAGCCTCTCGTGGTCTGCTCGGAATCGGTCGATCCTCGCCTCTAGCCGAGTGGTGGTATTGCCAGAGCTTCCTCCGACCGCTTCCTCTCCGACTCCGCCACGGCAGCCTGGACCACCCTGCCGATGGTCGCTTCCGGGGTGTCTAGCTTCCCTTCAATGGCTGTGAGTTGGGTCTCCTAAGTTGCAAACTTCCCATCGATTGCCGTGAGTTGAGCCTCCATTGTTGTGAGGCGTTCCTCGACGGCGTCGACCCGTTGTGTGAGCGTAGTCACCATGACCGAACTGCTCTGATACCAAGTGCTATAGACTAGGAAATCAGAATATAAATTCACAACAAATAGCTAGCAAATAGAGGAAAGCTTGAAGGATTTTAATTGATAATGGAAGTAACGGCTACAAGGAACAGGGATACTACAACTACTACTACACTACTACAAAATTCTCCAACAACATAAACCTACTGTTTCATTGCTCATCCTTATATATCAAGCTCTCCCTCACAAAAGTACTCTCTCATTAAACTTCTTTGTCATGTACTGAACAGAATACCCCTTGCCACAATCCTTAGTGGAACATTAAACTTCCTTGTCTTCTTCCTGATACAAATGCTGCAGCTCCTGAATTTGTCTCTTGCCCTTTTGTTTGTGTCTCCTCTCGTAGACCTTGATTGGTTGTTGGTGTGCTTCGGCCCGTTCCATTGCAAAGATATTGTAGATGTTCAATTGTTGATGAAGCTATATGGCTAAGGAAAAGTCTTTTCAGACCTATGAGAATCTGCAATAAACCAGACTATCTAAGAGATTAAAAGAACAAAACTCAAAGTAAATTGAGGGGAAGACAAGTTTTTGATTGATTGATTAACTAAGGAATGATACAAAGTATCCAAAACAATGGCTTTAGACCACAATTCTCCAAGTGCTTAATTACAAAATTTTCAATGCCCAAACTTTAATATCAAGTTCCTATTTAATTACTACCCTTAATAGTTTACTTTCTGTACAAGTACATGCCTTAATTGCTACATTTACTACTCCCCAGCTGCCAAATTAGTTGTTGCTTGCAACCCTCAAAGTGGTTGCTTGGTATGGTGCTTCCTGCTTTTCTGATAGTGGGCTCAACACTTGTCTCTTATGGTTTCTTTGGGTTTGACTCTTTTGGGGCCTGCTGTAGCCTGTAAGTTAGGAGGACAAGTGGCTTGTTGCTATTCGTTACAGAATCTCAAGGAGGAGCCACTATATTTTGGGATAACAAATTAATAAAAGCAGAAAATGTCATTGCATCAAATTCAATTTCTACACTAAAAGGCTAAAACCAATCATATCTAAATGAAGTCTCTTTAGAGCCTTTCACCTAGGCTGCAGGATCCAATTGCTTCACAGCAATGCCTCAATGCCTCGTGTGTTCTCCTTTTGGTTAACTTAATTTTGTTTGTACATGATTTTGTACTGCTTGATCCCAGATTTATGATGGTCGTTTTTGAACAAACTTTTAATTGGCTTTAGAGAAATATTTGGTTTTTTTTTTGTGCTTTTATTATTAGTTTGAGGAGAAACTGGGAGGTGCGAGGGCTTGTGTTACTTTTTTTTATTTCCTTTTTCTTTTTAGAGGAAGTCACATTTCTGTTCTGCCAAAGGGCAAAATATATATGATTTATATGAGAGAAAACTTTACTTCCAAATTATCTAACCAATTTGGCTTGCAGATGAAACCAGAGTCAAAGAATTTGGGCTGAAGTCCATGTGGAGAAGTCCCAATGGCACAATCAGAAACATATTGGATGGTCAGTAATCAAATTATTACTAAATTTTGAGTTTGACTTTTGCTATTGCCTCCTATTGTCCTATGTCAAATACTCTTATATGCCTCCTAGTTTTGAGTAGATCAAAATTTTTGTTGATGTAAAACATGCTTTGTTGTCTGCCACTTCTAAACGGTAGGCCTTATGTTTGTTGCAACAGTTGTCTTTTTTGTGATATGATTTCCTTGATACCCTGGCTGTTCTAGATAAATGTTACAAGTTCACCTATTCTGGTCAACGTTTAGTACTTTGAACATTAATTATAATTATATACAGTATATTGATTTATAATTCACTAATAGTAATTTTAGATTTTCTTAAAACTACTTTCCACTTTCCTTGACTGCTTCTCCTGTTTTTCCAATCATGTTCGCCAAAGTTCCTTGTTTTGGCTACCTCTCTGAAAACTTCCCCAGCACCCTAGGTGGCAAATCTGATACTGATATGTTAGTGAGTTGGTGCTTGGCAAGTCAGTAGTCAGACCAGCTTATTTATTATGTGGGCCTCATAGGAGCTCCCTTTTCCCCCTTTTTCTTTCTTCCCTGATCCTTTTCTTTTTTCTCTTTTCCCTTCTCTCTACACCCCCAGTTTCCTTATTTAACCGCCCTTGTTTGTACATTTCTTTGGCATATGATTGGTTTTTGAATAAGGCATTATTAACCATACTTTTTGTAGGGACTGTTTTCCGTGAGCCAATCTTGTGTAAGAACATTCCGAGGATTGTTTCTGGTATGTTTATCTGCCTTTCAAATCGTTCTTACCCTCATGCTCTTTTAAATCATAACACTGTCGTGTTCTTTGGCTTCTTTTACAGGCTGGACGAAACCCATTTGTATTGGCAGACATGCTTTTGGTGATCAATATCGAGCCACTGATACACTCATCCCAGGCCCTGGAAAGCTTAAATTGGTATTTGGTATGAATTTAGACCCTATCTTCTCTTTAATTGTGTCTGCACTCTATAGTCAATTCTCAATAGGAAAGCAGCACAGGTAAATCACTGTCTACAGAATATACTATAATCCTTGATAAGTGGATTGTAATATCATGCAGTCCCAGAGGATGGAAAGAATCATGTGGAACTTGATGTGCACGACTTTAAAGGGCCTGGAGTCGCATTGGCAATGTATAACATTGATTCGGTATGTCTTATTGCTCTAGGCTTTACATTGAACACAGAAAGAATGCAGTTCTACAAGTTACATTTAACACTTTCTCCTTTGTTGTTTTCTTATTTTTGGTTTTTCAGTCAATTCGAGCTTTTGCTGATTCATCAATGTCGTTGGCCTTTGCAAAGAAGTGGCCACTTTACTTAAGTACCAAAAATACTATCCTCAAAAAGTATGATGGAAGGTAATAAATAGCATACATACTTTTCCTTCATGTATTTATAAATATTGATCTTCCTTGATATTGTATAATGAAACATTTCTTAACTTTTTGCACTGCAACAGGTTTAAAGATATATTTCAGGAGGTATATGAAGAGAAGTGGAAGCTGAAATTTGAAGAACACTCAATATGGTTAGTTTGAGTTTGCAATGATTGTCAATTGCTTTGATTTATTAACTTGTCTTGATGTCTGTTAAAACATAAGTATTTCTCATCCAGGTATGAGCATCGCCTGATTGATGATATGGTTGCTTATGCATTAAAAAGTGAAGGTGGATATGTTTGGGCATGTAAGAACTATGATGGAGATGTCCAGAGCGATTTACTTGCACAAGGTGAGTATCCTATGGGAGAGATAGATTTCTTATGGCATAAATGGTCTCGCAGGATATCTGATAATCAAGATTCATCAAGCAACAAGCAGCTCTTTATCTATCCTCAGGATTTGCTTGAGTGGCTTCATTGAATATTTATAGATGTTATTATAACCTTATAAGTGTAATCTATAAGCTGAACTCCTGAAAAATAGCAGTGTACCTAATTCAATGTTGGAAATTGGGGTACAGGACCACAGTTTGCTACCTAGTTTTGTTAAATTAAGCCAATAATGTGCCACACACGTATTAAATTGTCTTTATTTGGATTGCAGTTCACAAGGGGATTAGTGAATTAGGCAACGCTGAACCATAGCTACAAGTACAACCTCCTTGTCATGTAGACCTTTTTGTTGGCATATCTTTGAAAAGTCCCCCCACCCACCCAAAATAGACAGGATGCTAAAAATGTTACAAGTTACTTGCTAAAAAAGTGTGTTGGATTGAAGGATTTGGTTCTTTAATTGTGAGATTTTAGCTGCACAACTGAGTTTTATCTGTAACCAACTCCGAGGCCCTGGCTTTATGGCAATCGTTGCATTTGGATTAGTCCATGTAGGTAGTGTCACAGTAGAATGATTTTTATTTTTTATTCATATATATTTATAATATAGAGGGCTTTGAGTTTTTGTGGATGTTAGTTGCTGTTAGTAATCTTGGAATTCCATTTGAATCTTTGCTTAGATGTGATCTTTCATCTAATCATTTTTCAGATAATTTGATTGGCTTCATTTGTACCTGTTTGCAGGTTTCGGATCTTTGGGTTTGATGACATCTGTGCTGGTTGGTAAAATATTGACCTTTTTTATGTTCTGTATGTACCATGTATCCTGTTTGACAATTATTTTTCATGACCACATTGTTTGCAGCTGTCTTCTGATGGTAAAATTTTAGAAGCAGAGGCTGCTCATGGGACCGTAACACGACACTTCCGGCTGCATCAGAAAGGTCAAGAAACAAGCACTAATAGTATTGCTTCTATATTTGCTTGGACACGTGGACTAGAGCATAGGTAAGTTATGTTTACTCAGCTATATTTCCTAGTAAAATATGTTCAATGACTTCCAAACTCCAACGAGTAAGTCTAGCATACAAAAGGGAGCATTTGACTTTTAAGTTGTACCCTTCAATTTCACAATATCTATGTTTTACCCTTAGGGTTTTTTTTAATTGTCTAAACCGTATCATCACTGACCTCACCATTAACCTTCTTTTAATGTAGTTGTTGGATTTGATTGTCTTTATTTATTTTTCTTACATAGAGACCTGCTGTATGTTCAAATTCTAAATTGTTATTCATTTTCAAAAAACTCTGTTTTCAATAGTCAACACCACCAATTAAACCCAACCACATCCCCCTCCTTCGATGATTACCAACCCCTCCTATTCATCTTTTCCCATCTCTCTCCACCACCACCAACAACAACAACAAAGCCTTAGTCCCATAATGATTTGGGGTCGGTTAACATGAATTGTCATAAGGAATTGTACGATATAAAGAAACGGACATAACAAGACCATCATTTAAAAGAGTTTGAAAAAAGGTGAGTAAAGTAAGTAACCGAAAGAGCATTTAAGAAAAATAAAGGGAGTTTTAAAAGAAAATCAAGAATAAAATTCAAGAAAGTTGAAAACATAAGGTTTGAGAAAACTTTAGCAAAGGAAAACAATACAGTTTATAAAACATTGTGGGCTAATAATAAAATTTAAAAACGAAAATAATCTCTCTCCACCGACCTCTCTAAATCTCTCTCCTTGTTTCCCATCACTTTTTGACGATTTAGGATCTGCGGGCATGCCCTTAACTGTTGTACAATTTTTTCAGCAATCAAGTAGATGGGAATGGGGGAAAGGAAGGGGCATTTGATTCAATGGAGAACGAATAAGGAAGGGGAATCAGTTTTGGAGATCGGGAAAGGCAGGTGATTGCCATTTTTGATGGATGGAATAGAGGTAAGGAAAGGAGCTGCTGTTGTAGAGGAAAGGGAGAGAGAATAAGGGGCAAGAAAACAGAAGAATGAGAGAGAGAGAGAGAGAGAGAGAGAGAAGGGGGGGGGGGGGGGGGGAAGGTTGAGGGTGAAGTGTTGAAGGTGAAAGAACAAGTGCTGGGTGATGTTTAGAGATTAAGTTCATTGGGTGGTGTTGGTGGTGCTGTTGTAGTTATGAGGCCTTGGCAGCCTTTTCCAAATAAAACCAAATCTAACAACTAGCTTAACGGAAGGTGGATGATGAGGATACGATTTAGACTACATGAGGGGTACAACTTGGAATTTGAAAAGGCACGAGGGCAATAGGTAGAAGAACAATTAGTAATTTTAATCTTACATTTATATTCTTTTGCATTCTCTTTACAGAGCAAAGCTTGATGAAAATCAGAATTTGCTGGACTTTGTTCAAAAATTGGAAAGGGCATGCATAGAGACCGTTGAATCAGGGAAAATGACCAAAGATCTGGCTTTACTGGCTCATGGGCCGAAGTAAGTGCTGAATAATGTCCATCTTTATTCCCGTTAGGTTCTGCTAAGTTTGTTTTTCCTGCAACTTTTATACATTGCTTTTCTACATGGTGCAATGTCTGCTAAACCTTTCATAATTTGCAGCCACTAGTGGCTGTTTACCTTCTCTCTAGACTAGTCAGCTCACTAGCTCGTGCCATTCTTTGTGCAGGGTTACTAGAGAAAACTACCTGAATACTGAAGACTTCATTGATGCAGTTGCACAGAATCTTGTTGCAAATATTGGAGTATCATCACATTAGAATAGTGCATTTTTGGTTGTATGTAGACGCTCATGCAATGAGGCCATAGCTGATCAGTTTATGGTTCTTTGTGAAGACATTAAATTGCAACATGCTGTCATAATGAGAATTATAATTTTGGTTTTCACCAAAAAAAAATAAAAATAAAAATAAAAATAAAATTGGTTGAGTCATCCTCTTCTCTCATCTTTCTTCTGATAGGCTGAAAGCCAACATTAAATGTAGAGAGAACTTTAGATTGGATTCCTAGTATAGACATAATGTAATTCATCCTTGGAGAATATGATTTCTACTTGCTTGAGTCAAAAACATGAGGGAAGGGTATTCATGCATAGTTCAATCATATTGAGCTCTCAAAAAATGGGAAGACAAGTAATGAAAACACTCAAAGTCTAACCGCTAAGCTATACTTCATATCTTTTAGGGAACTTGATCGATATTGTTGACAACATTGATAAGAACTAGATTACCATTCAACAACATTGACGAGAACCAGATTATTACGGAAAACACTCAAGGTCTAACTGCTTAAGCTATACTTGGAAAAAAATTAACCTAGAATCTCATTATCAACTTCCAATTTTCTAGTTATATATGAGATAGCCCAATCCAATCGAGACAAGACAACCAAAATGGTGGTGGTGTCGTGGTGTACAACCACCTTGTCCAGCAGGAGACGAAAGAGCGAACCCATTGGGGGCTCCATTCATGGTACAAAAGGAGATCAAGTCATTAACTAATCAACTTAAAGCTTCTCAATCTATACTCTTAAGGCACTGACGATTAAAAGGCTTCAGAGAAAATCAGGTAACATTTTTTTTTTTCTTCCGGTAAGCAAGTATAAGTCATTACTAAAACTAAACTTAGCACATATCAACCCAAGCCAAGTTAGCACGTAAAGTCCCTTGGGAGTGGGGGGAAAGAGTAAGGGAATTCTTACCGCTAGATCGAATATTACTTGGAGAAGAAAACTCGATATGATTATTAGCGTCATTTCTTAATTACATTTTTGATACATAATACTCCGTATATTGGTGGTGACTAACATAGTTATGTAGAATTGTAATTTGGAATTGGCTTCCTTTGTTCATGTTGCCAGAAATGCCAGTTTTATTTGATTTATTTAATTAGTTTAGGTGTCCAATATCAAAGAAAGCAAACAAAAAAAGGTAATACAATTTGTTTGGGGTAAAAATTACCCCTGTCACGTGGCCTAATGAGGGACTGGCACGTGTCACCCTCGTAGAGGCCCAAAGGGATGAAAGGAATGGTGTCCTTCCAACAAGTGTATTATTCCGATAGATGGTTTAGAATTATTACAGAGCTAATTCTTCAGTAAGGTCAAGTGATCGGAATGCCTAGGTGGAGGCCGCTTCCAATCAATAATATTAATGTATAATTAATATTACAGCTTAATTTTAACTGAACCCTTCAGGTCGAACCCAATCGAACAACCGATCCGATACGACAAATCAATCCGAAGGATTTAATGAGTCGTCGGAGTTTTACGAACACAGACGTCAGACATCGAGCCCAGGGCATCGAGGTCGAGCGTCGCAAAATCACAAGCAACAAGTTCAAGCATAGCCGTAGCATCACAGTGGCCTAGCCATGTGAACGCTAGGCTAACTCGAGCTAGCATGCACCTAGCATGGCTAGGCGCAAGCCTAGACACACTAGGTGTGCTAGGCGCACCATCGCTAGCACTAGGTGCTAGGATGCGTGCATGCCTAGCATTGCAGCACCATGTGCGTGTGTGCGTGCCTTCGCATGGCATAGCAGCACCGCAACATATGTGCCTGGGTGCCTAGGCGCCATCGCAAACCATACGCACCAAGCACAACCATCGCAGTGCTGGGCACTTGCATGTGTGCGTGTGCGTGTGTGTCTCGCACCATCGCAGGCCACGCATCAAGCATAGCATCCTTGCGTGTGTGTCTCGCACCATCGCAGGCCACGCACCAAGCACAGCACACCTGTGAATGTGCGTATGCGTGTGTGTGCCTAGCACCATCGCCAAGCACGCATGCTAGGCCTTGCGTGCGTGAGTACGCTGGCTGGGGTATGCGTGCTAGTGCATGCTGGCCTTGCTGTGCGTAGGCATGCGAGAGGGTGTGCGTGTGCCTGGGCGTGCAAGTGCCTGGGAGTGCTAGGGGCCAGCGCCTAGCACGAGCACGCAGCATCAGTGCCAGCATCATCAAGCGCCAGCACGCATAGCCTGGCTAGGGATGCAAGGCAGCTGGCTAGGCTAGCTGGCAGTGCTAGCTGGCAATGCAAGCTGGCTGCCAGCCCAGTAGCCCCCTATGCCGGTTTTGTGAGGGGTGGGGACCAAGGCTTGGGCAAAGCCTTGGGGAGCAAGGCAATGGTCCCCCCCCACCTTCTCTTGGTCCTCACTTAACTTTCTCTCTCTCCCCGTGACACTTGTTGCATTGTAATTGATTTGATTATTAATTTAATTTGGAATTAAATTAATTATCAAAATTACTCATTCTCCCACATTGGTTGGAGAATGAAAATCAAGGGTTCATTTCCCTATAAATACCAAGGCATGGGTATTTGGGAAAGAACACACTTGAGTGGAAAAGTTAAGGAAACTCCATTGTTGAGTATACCTTGAAATTCGTAAAACTCCAAGTTTATATTTTGTTCGGGCCTTAACTAACCTTCGAGGCTTAGGACGATCGGATCGGGTTCGAGGGTACGATCCCGTTGGAGACCTCGTATTTTCAGGGTTCAAGTAAGAGCTCATTGTCGAGCGAAGCACGCGTCAAAGGTATAATCTTTTATCCTTTCTTGTGTCTTTAATTATGTTTTGCTTGTTAATTGCATTAATTATGGGGGCGGGTATTGGCGGGTTTCATTCTGCTTAGTGTGGGTCGCTACGAAACCCTACAGCGGTATCGGAGCCATGCTCCTTTTAATTTAAGCAATTATTCATTAATTGAGGTGTTTTAAAGTAAGATTTATTTTCTGGTTTTGCTTTTCTAATTGGATTAGAAGCTTGTTTTAATTAATTTTAAAACTCGTATTTTTTTTCCTCGATTTGGCTGTCGAACCCAGATTTTGGCTCAAAAATAGTGATTTTTGGGTGGAATCGACATTCTGAAACAGATTCAACCCTTTTTAAAGCCTGTCCAGAAGCCAAATTCGAACCAGAAACCCAAGTTTTTGGGGTTTTTTTTCGTTTTTCAACGAAAATTTTAAATCTTTTTATGCCTTGATTAATGCAAGCATTACAAGGTTAGATTAAATGCATTATTGCATCCCTAATCTACTGCTATTTTAATTATCCTTAAGCATAATTATGGAGTTTTAATTAGTGCTTGAGTTGATGTGCTTTTTGTCACACAAACTTGATTTTTTCACAATTATGCAAATAAATTGCATTAATGAGTGAATGTTTGATGTGAATGTGTAATTTTAAGTTCCCAAGTATGTTAAAGATCTAATCTTTAAAAGTTTAAATGATTGGAACTCTAACCCTAAATTCCATATTGAACAAAGTTTGGATTTTTCATTTTGGTTGATTAAAATCCATGAAGTTCAAATACTTGTGAGTAAAATTTTGAATAATCTTCATATTGGAAGATGTAATCTTGGTATTTTACACAAGTATGAAAGTTGGAAAATTTTTATCATTAGATGGTTAATTTATTTTTCCAACTCCCTTTTGTCAAATTCATTATTAATTTGTATATTGGCTAAATTAATTATGGACATAGCTTTTTTTTCAATTTTAAGCATCAAGAAAGACCTAAAAATGTTCCAAAGTAATTTTGGAAAATTCGGCTTGTGCACCGTTAAAATTGAATTTAATTAAGTTGGACTTGTTTTATTTTCATTTTTGCCCTAAATTAATTCTAAAATAAATTTAGATTAATTTTATGTCACACGTAAATCGGGATTAAAATCCCGAGAAATGGCACGCAAATCGAGGCAAAAACACCCAAGCGCCACCAAGGCTAGCCGGGCTGCCTAGCAGCCCACATGTGGCTACCTATGGTGCGCACAGGGGTGTGCCTTGAGGGGCTGCTGTGTGGCATGGCAGTTGCGTGCTGCCGTAGTGCTAAGTGCATGGCATGGGCTGCTGGAGTTGCTTGTGCGTGCTGCTTGGCAGCGAGGCAGCAAGCCCCAGCCAGCCTGCCATACACTGCCAGGCACCAGCTAGCATGCGCAGCATGCGTAGCGAGCTGCTAGTGCTGGCTGGCGTAGCATGCTACGCTGGGCGTGGATGCTAGCACATAGCACAGCAGGCGCAACACATGGGCTGCCTAGCAGCCATGGTGCGCAACCCACTAGGCATTGTGTGGGCCATTTTGCTTAATCTTGAGCTATGTAATTTTGTAAAATTTTGCCGTTTTAAAATGTTTATGTAATTATTTTAATGAGGTTAGACCTCGATTTTTCCGGCTTTTGCAAAATTTTTTATTTTAACAAAATATGGGTAATGCTAACTTAATTAATCAGATTGATTAAGTATTGATGCGAAATTTAGTGGGAGCTTAGTTGTTTACGTGAGCAATTTGTTTTTAGAAATAATGGATTAAACAACTTTGACTAGTTTTAATTAGGCGCGTTAATCGGATTAACCACCTAAGTTAGTTACTAGTTTTGCGTGTTTAATTATGTATTTCGTAATATGCATGGGCCATTCACAAATAGTGAATGGGTGAATGAAGAATTGTTTTCAAAACAGGTTATTGAAAAAAGGCAACTAGTAGGACCCAACTAGGATAGAAAATACGGACTGCGTTCCAGTATGTATTTTTGTAAATCTAAATACGGTCTGCGAACCGTTAAGTATTTTTGTACTTTAGACTTAATCTTAGTCGTACTAGCTAGTTATTTTATTTTGGCAAAGATGTCTCAAGACGGCGTTTTGAGAAGACGAGCCAAGATGAAGATCCTTGAAGATTTGAAGATTTCAAGGGGTCATGCTAGTTGCCAAATGCATCAATTTATGCTTTATATATATTATTATTTTATATGAATGTTAGATGCATGTATAGGATTTCATATGTTGCGGCGATTAGTTAAGTTCACTTAAATCAACCGACATAGAAACCCTAGGTCTCTTAAAATATTGAGCTAAAATTTGTCGTTCCAAGAACAACACCTACCGAACTAATGCGCATATGTGATGGGCTACGCCAAAGCGAGGCATCACTACTTC